TCTCGGTCATACAATGATCAAACACCTCTCCCTTCACAAGTACTCATTTTTCACCACCAAGAACCCCAATATACCCCCCTACCCCTCCCAATGCCTGTGAGGCAGATGATTTCTACTTAACTCTTCTCTACATTGATTACATTCATTATTTTGACAAAAGATGCACCATTATTGTTTAGAATTTCTCCCCCAACAATCAGAATTGCTGAAACGGCATTGTGAAATACTTTGTTTTCTATAGCTGGTTATGAGAATCGTATAATCTCGCATGGCTGCAATAGCGGCCTTGCGGTTTTGGATTTCTGCAAAGAGCCAGATAATTACGAGACTGGTATCTATCTGTGGGTCTGGTTTTATGGCTGTGCCGGAGAGCCACTCGAGGGGGGCAACTCGTGACCTTGGTAGGGTGTGAAGGATGAGTCGGTACCACACCCTTCCCAAGAGACTGCAGTTGCCCCATCACCGCCGGCTCATACCTGGCTTTCCTCTAAGCTTTGAGGTGTCGGTGACCTTGCTGCCGGGTGGGGCGGGGGGGGGGGGGGAGAAAGGCAGAAAGGAGCAACACCCTTCCTCTCCTGGAGAGGCATGACACCAGAGTTTAACTCATGGTCCATTCACTTTTCTGCTGCAAGCTGCCAGGCTCAGGACTAAGTCCTTTTGCCTCTGGAGCCATGGCCGTGCCGGAGAACCGCTCGTGGGGGGCAACTCGTGACCTCGGTAGGGCATAAAGTACGAGCTGGTACCGCCCCCCCTTCCCATGGACTGCAGTTGCCCCGTCACTGCCGGCCCATTCCTGGCTTTCCAATAAGCTCTGAGGCGGCAGCCACCTTGTATGTGGTCCAGATGCATTTCTGCCCAAAGCCGCCTGGTTTCAAGATTTGTTTCTGAGTCTCTGGGATTATGGACATTAATTAGCTTGATCAGGAGCCAGAGAGGCTTTTGTAGGCGGCAAGTGGGGTTCTCGCTGGGATGGGGAGGAAAGGGCCGATTCCCTCCATCTTGTGAGGCCCTACGTGTCTCGTCACTGCAGGCCCAAACCTGACTGTCCAGTGGCCTCTGGAGCATGGTGGTCACCGGGCTGCCAAAGGTATCAGGCCAAGGTACGAAACCTATTCTCACCTGGAGTGGCCCAGCGCCAGTAACCTACTGCAGGAACAGGATGCATTTCTGCAAAAGCCTTTGGGTTCCGAGATTTGTTTCTGAGTCTCTGGGATCATGGCTGTTAAGCAGTTTGATCAGAAAACAGAGAGGCCATGCCTTCAATTATATAACTGAACTGGAGGTGGTATGTGGGTGTGTTTCCAACATACCTAACTTTTGGCCGTTTACTTTCTTGGTAAACTTTGCCCCAAGTTTTTGGAGTCTGGCCAAAGGCACAGCAGCAATTTTGGGGTATCTGAAAGTCTGATGGTGCCATCAGGCTGCTGATGCACTCGCCTCGCAGGTACAGATTGACCTGCTGACAGCACCATACCCCCTCTTATTTAATTTTTAAAGTAAATTTATTATTTTTGGCTTGCAATTCTATTAATAATGGTAATTTCAACAACACACACATGACCAGGTTAACTGTCTCTTTCCTCCAAGAACTCCCCCCCTTCCCTCTCATTTGCTCCCCAGCTCAATTGTGTGGGTCAGTTTCCCTATAATGTTGACTTTAGTATTTTTGTTGCTACCTTGCTGTGTATCTTTAAGTCCCACATGTGAGAGATCGTTCTGTATCTGTTCCTTTTGTTCTGATTGGCATCACTCAGCATGACATCCTCTCTTGTTTAAATCTTTTAGTGTTTTTAAATGTCCATTTAAAAAATTATTTCAGTTTCTATGCCTCTTTCATGAGAAGTAGAATTATGGAAACATATGGATAAAGCTGTAGCATAGGAATCATTTTCATGTTCTGCCACTAGCTTTAGTGTATAACTTTTGTGAAATCCTTTTCCTCTCTGGACCTCAGCCTCAATTTCATGGTCTCTAAGTTATCTTCACCTGTAAGGTTCAAAGTTCCATGATCTTATCTGGTAATGATGGGTCAAAAGTCAGACCACAGGAAACAAACAGCTCCTTTCATTTAATTTGAAGCAATTTTAAATACTAGAAGCCACTTATCAAAGTATTGATAATATACTTTCTATATTAGGCAGCCATATTTTTTCATCAAGCATTCTAACTATATTGACTCCTGCCTCATTAGGTATTGTATCTCCCTCTTTTTACCTCCATTAAGCATTTTGACTAATGAATTTTAAATAACCTGTTCTTAAAGTTGTAGTTTGCCCTTACTCTGAGTAGCAATCTTGGGCCAGAGAGATAAGGTTCAGGTTAAGGTCCCCAATACCATTTATGGTCCCCCAAATTCATCAGAAGTGAACCCTGACTACCACTGGGTGTGGCTGAAAAGAAAACAAAAAACAATAGTAATCCTAGGTCTCATCCCACGCAACATCAAACACAATACACACTTTTAGAGAGGAGCTACTTTCTTTGTGGTAGTTAATCATTTTCCAAGTGACTTTCCACCCATGTTTCTAAAGAAGGGAGTGACCATGATCTCAGCTCCTGAAAGACTTACTCATACAGAACTATAATGAATGTTTATTTTACTATTTTAGCTGCATTGTCCAATCCTGATCTTTGAACTGTTATCTATCTTTGAAAGATTGCAAGTTTACAATCAATCATTTTATTTTATAGTGCATTTCTTTTTTATATGTGTGGGAGCATGCCCTATCAAAAACTTTGGTACCTAATTAAGGTACATAATTAAGTTGATCTCTATGTGAAGTTTTGTGCAGCATAAATAGTGTGGTGTTTACAGTAGTAGATACAAAGAGTATATCAATAAAGGGAAAAAGTATATCAGCTACAGTAGTGAAATTTTTAATTACTGGTGATAGTACTTAACTACATATTATAAGGATGAAGAATATCTGTATATATTCTAGTGAAGAGGCTATAATATTCCAACTAAGAAGTTTGACATAAAAATATAGCACTGAAACCATCCATTCTGAAGCACAGGAGGGAATTTGGAATTGAGGGAAGTAATCTCAGAGAATAAAATATAGCCTGATGGTAGAAGTCATAGTGGACTTGATACAGTAATAAAAGTTCATTATTTTATGGTCTTGAGTGATATTAATATAAGTAAAGGTAATTTTTTAAATGATTACCCAAACTTTAGTATACAGAATGAACTTTGTAACAACATGAACCAGAAGGAACAATAGATTGTCAGATTTGTGTAACAATGGCTTTGTGAGTGGTGATTAATATTATAAATGGAGAACAAAGACAAAAACAAGGGAAGGATACATTTTTAAAAACTGGGAATGATCCCAGTTATCAAAGAGATCTGAAAGTCATTTATATAAAAGTGGAAGCTAAATCCATGAGAGCTGTAAGAGATAAATAGGGGGATAGAATAAAGGTAAAGCAAGTAAATACAGTGTTAAATAACAATACCAGCATACACCTATGCGAACAAAGGAAGAAATGGAGAAATACAAAATCCTGGGTAAAAGCTAGAATTCCAAAAGGAAATCATAAATCCAGGAGAAGTAACATAAAAAATACATTATTGTGAGCATTACCCTGGTGTGTAGATGAAAAAATCTGAGTCTAGGTGTATAAATGTACTTGTATAACACCTTGAAGCAGTTTCAACTCAACCTACTCTTACATATTCCACAGTATATCCTATTTTTACCAATCTCTGAAAACTAATGATATACATAGCAGAAAGTATCCATATCATATGTGAAATATAAAGAGATATAATAAGGGAGCAACAAATGGCCAAAGCCAACAGAACCTGAGGACTGGTCTACAGAACTGGGCTTGCCATGCTGGTGGATCAGATGAGATTGTGGTGAGATTGAGGTTGAGGTTGAGGTTGAGAGGGACATATGGGCAGAAGTTGTGTTACTGGGAAATTGTATGCATGAAACCCTATCATTAGCACTATTGTAAATCCTATTGACATTTTCTTAATTTAAGAAGAAAATTGTTCCCACTGTGGAACTATGATCACAAAGATAGATATTCTCAGATGCACTTTTGCTTTCTCACTCTTCCTGAAATAAAGCAGCCTTATTTCTGGAAGTGCCTTGTAAATTAGTTTACTGACCTTCTGTGACAAGCCACCCTGGCTGGAATGTAACATTTATGGGGATATTATAAATAGACTTTGATTTCATAAAAGAGTATGTTCTAATTAAACAACTGTAAGAGATGACCACCATTCACATTATTTCAAATTTCAAAGTATCAAGCACATTATTATGCAGATAGCACAAAATGATTATACATTAAACAAGCCAATTCAGAGTATGCTTTCCTTTAGCAAAGGGCTGGATATTTTTTAAAAATTCATTTGTACTACAAACAGTGTTGCTTTTTAATTCCAAAGCCTCTTATTTTCTAAATGACTCATTACTTTTTTAGAAGAACAACAACATTATCCAGTGTAATAGAAAGTTAGGGCAATTTTTGTGAGTGGTAAGATCAAAAACATTCCATTAAAACCAAATGATGTTGATCTATCATCATATCTATTTTATTTGAATACCACCCGATATTATAGCGCATATAGTTCTTTTTATTTTGGTTTGTTTGGGGGCCACACCTGGTGGTGCATAGGGTTACTCCTGTCTCTCTGCTCCTGGATGACTCCTGGGGGTGCTTGTAGGATCATATGTGGTGGTGCAGATTTATAACCTGGGTCATTCGCATGCAAGGCAGACACTCTACTCCCTGTACTATCACTCTGGCTAGGAAAATTTTGATAAATAAAATTATCATGGCTCATAGCACAGAAAATTGACTATTCTTAGAATGTGAACGAGCTACTAATAAATGCTTCAGTACAATGCACCAGTCCTTATATTTACAAATGTCTGCCTCCTCCAGGGATTATAGAATGAAGCAATATACCCGTGAATAAATAGTTATCCATATAAGAAAAATGGACATTTAACCACCCTCATTTTTTATCCTTACAGATTATCCAGAAAGTTCATCATCTGTTGTCATGGAAACAGAAGCATAGCTGTTTTCACATATCCAGTATCTTTCAGACAGGTCAGTATTTTGAAGGAGACATAGAATGCCACATGAACTGCCAAGTGGCAGTGTTGGAAATAGAGTCAGAAAATCAGTGCATTTCACCCTAGTGAATATGAATAACAAATATTAAATTTGCCATTCTTACATTGTTTATATTAACAAAATCTCTGTACATAATTTCCTTGTGTAACAAACTGAAAACAACTCTCTTACTACTTACAAAATCATACTTGAACTAAAAGACTCTGGTATCCAAAAACAAATAAATATCCTGTATAGCTTATTTTCTTATACTCTGAATTACGAACCTTGGCCTGATGCAGTTTCAGTCTCAGAAATAACATAGATTAAAAATAGATTCTTTTTGCCTGACTCCATTATGTCAGTAAATAACCTACTCTTACCCATTCACAGACAAAGAGCATTATCCTTACACTACAATTCTTCACAATATGCTACCAATTTGTTCATCAGTGACAGGCAGTCTTACTAGATTAGCCTAGTGAAAAGTTAATCTTTCCCTGTGCAACATTCATAAGTAAATAAGCCCAATGTAATTCAGTATTAAAAGGATAATTTTGTGACAGAATTACCACAGAGATTGAAGCTCTGATCTAATAAGGCCTTCCAATTCCAGAAAAGCTGCCATTATTTAGAAAAAAAATCAGTTTATGAGTTCTCAGGTATTCACTTTTCTCCCTTACAGAACTCCGCCCTATGCCAGTACTGCTACTGTATTCACGATCACAATCATCCTGTTATTCGTCAATTGCCTCAAGCAGGCACCAGTAACGTCTCATTCTTCCTAGCCCTGAGATTTTTTTTTTTTTTTTTTTACTATTATTATTATTTTTTTATTAGTGAAACACCATGAGGTACAGTTGTAGATTTACTATTTTTTGTGCTTGGGTTTCGATTATACAATGATCAGATACCCATCCCTCCACCAGTGCCCATTTTCCACCCCCATGGATAATATCCCCCCCCACCCCCATCCCCCATCCCCCCTGCCTCTGTGGCAGGGCAATCCCCTGTGTTCTCTCTCTCCTTTTGGGTGTTGTGGTCTGCAAAAGAGGCATTGAGTGGCAAACATGTTCAGTCCATAGTCTACTTTCGACATGCATCTCCCCTCCTGGGAGGATCCTCCAAACACCCTTTATTTGGTGCTCTCTTCTCTATCTGAGCTGCTCTTTCCTCTAGAATGCCTGGCTGGCCACTAAGCTATGGAGTAATCCTCCTGGTGCTGATCTCAGCTATTCTTGGGTATTAATCTCATATTTTGTTGCTTTATATCCCCCAGATGAATGCAATCTTTTTATGTCTATCCCTCTCTTTCTGACTCATTTCGCTTAGCATGATACTTTCCATGTTGTACCACTTGTATGTAAATTTCATGACCTCATCCTTTCTTTTTTTTTTTTTTTCCCCTTTATTTTATTTTATTTTTTTTAAAGTTGTAGATTTACAATTTTTTGTGCTTTGGTTTCAATTATACAATGATCAGATACCCATCCCTCCACCAGTGCCCATTTTCCACCACCATGGATAATATCCCTCCCACCCCCATCCCCCCATCCCCCCGTCTCTGTGGCAGGGCAATCCCCTGTGTTCTCTCTCTCCTTTTGGGTGTTGTGGTCTGCAAAAGAGGCATTGAGTGGCAAACATGTTCAGTCCATAGTCTACTTTCGACATGCATCTCCCCTCCTGGGAGGATCCGCCCTGAGATTTTAAAAGAGCCATATTCAATGCTCTTTCAGGGTTAGGAGAATGAGACCCATCATTGTTACTGGTATTTGGCATATTGAGTATGACACGAGGAGTTTGCCAGACTCTGCAGGCAGGATACTTTCGGTATTACTACTGTATTAAGCCATTATATTCCAGACACTCTGCAGTTTTCTTGATACGTTATATAATTCAGCTTAATTATGCATTGAGTGTTCCTATTCTTGTTTTGTCTATGAGAAAACTCTATTCAGCTAGTAAAAGGATATTGCATTACATAATCTTAGAGCATGCTCTTTCTGCTATGGAATTCCATTTAAAGTCTGACATAGACTATTTTTGTTGTATATTTACTTATTAAAAATAACAAAGATTAAAATGAGCAAAGAAATAAATCTTAAATCTAAAATCCTAAGCTTTCATGTTCATGTAAAGCAAACTGTATGATAGCATTACCTAGATTTCAGTTATCCCTGATGTTTATCTCTATTGTTTTCTGATTTTAGCATTTTATTTGTAGGCATTCTATAGAGCACCAATACAACCTGTTAACAGATTAAAGAGGGGAAAATATCTGAGTAGATAAATTTAGGAAACCCCATACTAGCAAACTTAGAGCATTATCTTTTTTTTAAAATAAATAGATTTTATTTGGAAGGTTTTTTTAAGGTTTGGAGAGAGAGAGAGAGAGAGAGAGAGAGAGAGAGAGAGAGAGAGAGACAGAGAGACAGAGAGAGAGAGAGAGGAGAGAGAGAGTAATGTACTCAAGAGAGAACACGGGCTTCTCCAAGGGTGGAGAGAGCCTCTATACACATACCAGCACTAGAGACAAAAGTATGAAAGTACACATCTCAAGAGGAGAGATGCAGGTGACACATGTGCTCAGCCACCACATGTGCTCGGCCAGAGGGCGCAAGCAGCACATGGGCTCAGGCAGCATATGCGCCAGAGCATTATCTTTAGCATAAGAATTCTCAAATATTTTACTGTGTTGACATGTATTGTGCTATAAGCTATGGTTATTTTATTTATTAGAATTATCTGACCTATTTTATGATAGAGAAGGGAGCACCAAATAAAGGGTGTTGGGAGGATCTGCCCAGGATGGGAGATGCATGCTGAAAGTAGACTATAGACCGAACATGATTGCCACTCAATGCCTCTTTTGCAAACCACAGCACCCAAAGGGAGGGAGATAAGAAAATGGAATGCCCTGCCACAGAGGCAGGTTGTGATTGGGGGGATGGGGGTGGGGGAGGTACTGGGATCCGTGGTGGTGGAGAATGGGCATTGGTGAAGGGATGGGTACTCGATCATTGTATAACTGAAACCCAAGCACAAAGTATTGTAAGTCTACAACTGTACCTCATGGTGTTTCACTAATAAAACTTTTAAAAAAAAGAATTATCTGACCTAGCCAGAAGGGAATATTGTAGCCTTCTGAAATTATTTTCAGGTTAGATCATTGAACTGTCTTTAAAACACCCTAAATTAATGCTAATAGGAAGCAGTTGTTTCCCATTCTCCCACTCCCAGGGTTGAACAACTACAGTTCTGCTGCCTGTCTCTTTAGATTTGCCTATTTTTGACCATCTCGGTTCTACAGTACAAATCTAAGAGTTGATTTTGTTTGGTTTTCTATAATGCACTTGTTTTGTTTCTTTATATCTTCACATGAAAGAGATAATCCAGCATTTGTCTTTCTCTGTATGACTTACTTTATAACTCACCTTTAAACTTCTTCCATGTTGTCAGAAATAGCAGAATTTTCCTTATAGCTGATTCTTATCTTAGCTACTATTCTATGTGCTGCAATGAATAATGATGTGAATATGTCTTTGAATGATTTTTGCATGTGTTCTGGGGGTAGAAACACAGAAATTGAGTTGCTGGGTCATATGGCAGCTCAATTCTTTGTTTACTGAGCCATCTCCATGCTGTTTAATATAAAAGTTGAAATAAGAAATACTTCCATCACCAGTGGATGAGAGTTTCTTTATCATCACATCCCTATCAGCACAGTGTTCCAGTCTTTTTGATATGCCATTCTTACTGATGTAAGATAATATCTCATTGTCATCTTGATTTGTATTTCCATGATAATAAGTGATGATAAGAACTTTTTTCTGTGTCCGTTGGTTATCCATCTGTCTTCTTCAGAGAAGTGTCTATTTTCTCTCCTCATTTTTATAGGGTTTGTGGATTTTTTGTTGTTGATCACCATGATTTTTTGTTTGCTTTTTGGGTCACACCCGGCGAAACACAGGGGTTACTACTTGCTCTGCACTCAGGAATTACCCCTGGCGGTGCTCAGAGGACCATATAGGATGCTAGGAATCGAACCTAGGTCGGTCGCGTGCAAGGCAAACGCCCTACCCGTTGTGCTATTGCTCCAGCCCCCATCATGAGTTTTTAATATGTCACAGACATTAATTCTTTGTCCGATGTACTGAGTGCAAATGCTTTTTCACGGTTAGTTGAGTATCACTTAATTTTAGCCTGTACTTCTTTGGCCATGTAGAAATGTAGAAACTTTTTAGTTTGATTTTTTCCCCATTTGTTTATTTTCGTTTCTATTGCCTTTGCCAATGGAAATATATCATTAAAGATCTTTAAGAATCAAAGCTTGGAGAGTTCTTCCTATATTTTCCTAAATGTATTTTATAGAGTCTCCTGCCCCCGCGCCTGGCTGTCCTCACCGGGGCCCCTTGGAGGGGGGAGGGTTGAGTTTCTCTCCCCCGCCTCCACCCCAAGCAGAGCCCCAGCAGCTGAGGACCTCCGGAGCCAACCACGGCCATGCTGGGACCACTCTCCACATGTCCGGACGGGCTTCATGTATAAAAGAACTGGCAGAGGAACCCAGGCATGCAGGTCCCAGGGCTGAGGTCTCCAAGCCTACTCGGATTGGGACTGGGCCTTCTCCAACCAGACCCCCCATGTTCCAGTAGGTAGGCGTCACACCCACCAGCTGCTGCCAGTGCCAGGTTGGTTCCATCAATGGCCAAGAAGCAGAGACTATAAAACCCAGCTCCCTGAAGTGCATGGCCGCTTTTGCGGCCACGCAACATCTTATTTTTTTCCCCTTTTTAGAACCTGGCAGGCTACCAAAAGTATCCTGCCTTCACGGCAGAGTCTGGCAAACTTCCAGTGTTGTACTCAGTATTCCAAATACCAGTAACAATGATGGGTCTCATTCTCCTAATTCTGAAAGAGCATTGAAATGGCTCTTTTAAAATATCAGGGCTAGGAAGAAGGAGACGTTACTGGTGTCTGCTCAAGGAAATCGACAA